ATCGCAGCCCCCCCGCCGCTGCACGGAGCCCCCCCGGAGCCGCACGGGGGGACCCCGACACGGCCGATTTCCCCCCCACGTCCGCCCCAGCCGCGGGTCCCCGGCCCGATGCGGTGGCCCCGGTGCCCCCCCGGGTCCCCCCGTACCTGGGGTCCCCCCGGTGCCGCCCGGCGCGCGCCCCGCCGCCCCCCCGCCTCCTCCTCCATCTTCGCCGCGCGGCCCCGCCCGCCCCGACAACAACATTCGGTGACGTCACTCGCGGTCACGTGACGGCGCCCGGCGCTAAAAATAGCCCCGCGCGCGGCCCCCCCCTCCCCATAAAAAGGGGCGGTGCCTAATGAGGGGCGGAGCCTAATTGGGCCTTAAAGGGGCCGCGGGAGCGTGAGGCGCTGTCAGTGCGCTGTGAGCCTGCGGGGCCTGGCGGGTGTGAATGAGTGTGCGACAGCGCACGGATGTGGCCGTGAGTGTGCAATGGCACGCGTGTGCGTGACGGGTGACAGGCCATGGTGCGCGCACACGGTGCCACGCGCTGCTGGGCTGCCTCACACACACGTGGGCAGGCCCAGGAGATCGGTGTGCAGCCACCCCTGCGTGAGCACACACGTGTGCAGCAGGGCCGGCGGGAAACGCTCGGCGGGGCGCACACAGCGCTCTGTGCCCGTGTCACGTCAGCCTGTCAGGGACACAGGACATGGGACACGCGTGTGCAAGACACAGACACACACACACACACACACACACACAGACACGCGTGTGCCCTTGCCGCCCGCAGCACCTGCCCGTGCCCTTGCCCACCTCGTGTGGGTGTACCAGGCCCGGGCTGGGGGGATCGCTCAGCCTGCGCCGTGCGGGGATGAATCACACCGGGCCGGGGCCGCGCTGAGTCACCGGCGGCGCCGGGGGGCCCGGCCGGGTGACGCGGGGGCACACGCGTGTGCACATGTGACACGCGCGGGGGAAAAGGGGGTGCGTGGCCCTTTAAGGGGCGCGGCCGTGCTTCCTGCCCGCCGCCAGGCGGCGCTCGCCGCCGCAGGGGAAGTTCCGCCCCTTCCCCCGGGGCCCGCGGGTTCGAATCCCGGCCCCGCCGCTTCCGCCTCCGGGGCCGGGCCGGGGTCGCGCCGCTGCCATGGTAACGGGGCCGGGGGGGGTGACTGGGGCGGTTTTGGGGTCCCCTGGGACAGATCTGGGGTCTCCACGGCGGGGTCCCCACAGAGGGATCTCCGGGGTCCCCTCGGCGCGGTGTGGGGCCTTTCCGGGGCCCGCGGTGACCCCCAGCGTCCCCCGTCGGGGGCGGAGAGCTCCGGGACCACCGAAGGCCCCCCCAGAATGTTGTGTCCCTCCCACTGCCATTCTTCCCCCTTTTCCTACAGTCCTGCCACTTCCAGAAGCTTTTTGGGACCGACGAGGAGCTGGAGGACGAGGTGAGGGACCCCCAAAGCCCTCCCAAGGCGCGGTGCGTCCAGAGAGACCCCGCGGGTGAATCCCGGGGAGCACACGGAGCCCTTCGCAATCCCGGTGTTTATTTTTCCGCAGGATTTCCTCTCCGCTGTGGAAGATGCAGAGAACCAGTTTGTGATCCCCGGGCATTCCTCACCCAGCGTTGCCCCAGTTCCTCCCAGTGAAGCCCATCCCAGTAAAGCCCATCCCAGTAAAGCCCCCAGCCTCCGGCCCCTCGCCGGGCAGGGCGAGCATCCCGTGGGATTGCAGGGCCGCCCACCGTGGGGAGCAGCCCCCCAAGATGAGCTGGACAATGACCTTTTCCTGGCTGCCTGCAGGGAGCTGGAGGGGCCCGAGGGGCCCCCCGGGCACCGCCACAAATCACCGCGGAAGTGCCCAGGGAAGGAGAACGCTCAGGAATGTGGGATCCCCAAAAAGCTCAGGGTGGGAGAGGAGCTGGTCCCCGGCTCTGGGCAGCTGCAGGACAGGCAGGGTCCCCTCCCCAGTCCCAAACTGGTGCTGCGGCCCAGCACGGCCGGTGCCTGCGCCCCCAGACCCCCCCCTTCCCTGGGAGAGCCAGGGAGCTCCAGGGGATCCGTCCCTGCTCCGGGGGCTCCGTGCCTGAGGCCTGGCCAAGCATCCCTAGGAGGGAGCAGCTCCTCGGTGCCCTGGACCCCCCCAGCACAGAGCTGCCCCCAGCCCCGGCTGCCCCCCAGACCCCCCTCCTTGGAGCCTCCGAGGCCTCTGCTCCAGCAGCCCCCTGGCCCCCCAAACCCCCCCGTGGCTCCCAACGCTCCCGGCCCCCC